CTTTTTTGCCTCTGTGTCTACACCTCCCACACTGCCTGTGCTTGGAAATGGTGGATCTGCAGGTGCAGCTGAGCATTTCTGTCCCAGAAGCACAATTTTGCTGCAGGGAAGAAACCAACATGACAGAGAGCTGTGATCACCATCAGAGGCAGGTCCAAGCTGCACAGCACATGCCCTGTTAGGGAGCAGCATTTATTCAGCTTGGAGAAGGAAAGCTCTGTGGGGACCTGACAGCACCCTTCCTCCAAGGAAGACATTGGAAAGACAGAGCCAGGCTCCTCACAGCGCTGCGTGGCAGGAGGACAAGAGACAGCAGGTGTAAATTGAAAGAGGAGAGGTGTAGAGTGGGTATCAGGGGGAGGGTGCAGCAGCAGAGCTGGAGCCCAGGGAGGCTGGGCAGTCTCCTCCCTCAGATGCTCTCAGACCTGACACCCGGAGCAGTCTGCTCTGAGCAAGAGGCTGGACTAGAAACCGTGTTCCCATCCTACCTGAATTACCCAAGGGATAGACAATTTCAGGCTGAGACCTGGCTGTAATCCAGAATGAAATCCTTGCCTGGAATACACAGCAGCACCCTCACACACTCCCACCCTTCCTGAGCTCCAAAACACTGTACATTTCAAAAGTAAGTTGCTTGATGAAGCCCTGCCTGTGCTCTCCAGCACCCACTGAACAGCCTGGCTGTATCCACATCTCCCCTGGCTTTAAGGAACATTTTTTTCTGACAAACAAGGACCTCTTCATGGATTTGGGGTGAAGGATTTGCTCAAATCAGTACCAGTGTGTGGCAGTGGGGCTGTGCTGGGCCAGGACACCTTGCTCCCCACACAGACTCTCCTCTAACTGTCCGTGCCTGACTGAAGCCCAGAAGCACTGACACCTCCTCCAAAAATGTACAGGCTCTCCTGTAACAGCCCTGGCTGCTCCAGCTACCCGCAGAGCTCCTTTTCATATCCTTTTGGCCATGCTGAGGCAGAGAGGCCCCAACCCGGTCTCGCTGTGCGTGCAGGAGCTGCTCGGTGCTGCCACGCTGACACCGGCGTGCGCCACGGCAGCCCTGCTCCCAGGGAACCCCTCAGAACCAGCAGGCCCTCCTCCAGCTTGGCACAAAAGTTTGCATACAGGCTAAAAAAAAAAATTTAAAAACGATGACCAAGTTTTCTGAAAACCTCCATAATCCCTTGCAGAGG